TTGTAAATATTTTCTCCATTCCATAGGCATTCTTTCCAGTTTGCTGTTTCCTCCCATGTGTAGAAGCAGTCTGGTTTAGAACTTGAGATCCTGGACTTCAGGCTGATGTCACCATGGGATGTAACTTACCTGACCTGCTGGCTTTTGCCTCCTCTGCTTGGTGGCCCTGAGCTGCCCTTCTAGGGTTCTGACCATCTCACTGGACAGACAATATCTATATAGCGCTGTATCTACATGGAGAAGTAAAGAGCCCCAGGAGGGCCCCAGCTTTTATCCATCTCTACAAAGGCATCGTTCACATAAGCCCAGCAATATGCTAATGACCAGAGAGTGGTCTTAGTCTGTGCCACTTGAACAGAAGAATTGCTCAGTCATGTTCTCCCTAAATTAATTACGGCCAGATTCAGAGCAGCGAATGGAAAGATACAGCTCTATGTGTGAATATATACAGGTTTGTGTGTGATCATACTAAATACATAAACACATATGCATACACAAACACATCCCTATTGGTATTCAGATACCAATCCATGTGCTGTCATATACAGACCCAGGTGTTTTCACGTTTAGACACATACATGAAATTGAATTCAGATATACATATCACTGAATGTATACACACAAGTAGTCATATAGAGATTCACATGAGTCTGGAAACAGATATGAATATATGGTTGGATCCATACTTGTATGTTGTTGGATACCGACCAATAGATGTTTATAAAGAAATTGGCTTTAAGGTTTGTGCTCTAATACATGCCTGCAAAAGACACTAAGTCCTTTCTGACCAACTTACTGAAAATGTGAATCAAATGTAAATAAGACGAGATAGGGCGCTTTCAGGGTGGTATGGCCATATTGGTTTGAAAAGAAAAAAAAAATTTTTAAAAGAAAGTCTTCGTTTTTCAAAATGTAGAGGAAAAAAAGCAAGATTTTTATGCACTCTAACGGAGAAGATTACAAATTTTTATTTTGATGTCGATCCTTCACAATATGTGTCTTATTCTAGATGGGATAACAAAATAATAACATACATCTTTGTCCTCAAAATAAATATGCTGTGTTATAACATGCTAAATGTATATTTTATGGGAAGTTTTCAAAATTTACATAATGAATCTAAAGTTTATAGGGGGAGGGGAAGATCAGGAAGGAGGGAGAGAAAGAAGAGGAGAAACTGCCCCAGAACTGAACATTCTAGATGATGCAAAATTTGATCTACTAAATAGAAAATTTTCAAATTACCTGAAATTAACAACTATATTAAAGGATTATTTCCCCTCTTTGGAGAAAATGGGCTAAGATATGTCCCCATTACAAACAAAAATAAATTCTAGATGGGTTACAAAGTATAGTTGGAAAAGTTATTGGAAAAAAAAACAAGACAAAAACCACTACAATATTGTAAAGTAATTAGCCTCCAACTAATAAAAATAAATGAAAAAAAAAGATGTTGAAATGTTTAAAGTCACTGGAAGGAAACAGAATTTTCCAAAATCAATGTGATAGAAAAAAATTTTTAAAGTAGAATATTAAATTAATAGCTTAATTTTAAAATATTCATAGCTAGAACATGAGTAACATAATAAAGTATTCTAGCAAATTTCAAAGATTAAATATTTCAAGGAAACATACATATTTAATGTAGAAAGAGTTAGTCAAAATTTATCAGTAGAAATTCTCACTCCAAAAGATCAAGAATGCAAGTAATTGACAAAGTGTATAGAGTGAATTGGGAGGATCCCCTTGAGAAGGGAATGGCAACCCACTACAGTGTTCCTGCCTGGAGAATTCCATGGGCCAAGGAGACTGGTGGGCTACAGTCCATGGGGTTGCAGAGTCAGATGTGACTGAGTGATTAACACACATATAGAGTGGATATTATGTATCATACATTGTGATAGAAACAGAGAACGAGTAAGTTTCCTTGACTTCGGGGAACTTATAGATCAATAAACAGATAGTTAATAAAGATATTTATCTCATAGCTTGAAATAAATACACAAATATGAAAATTACTTAACATCTCTCTTAACTCATTTGTATTACAATTGCATGACACCATAGACCAGAAGGAGTAAATAATAAACATTTTTCACAGGTTTGGTGGCTAGGAAATCCAAGATTAAGGTGCAGACAGACTCCATATCCAGTGGGTTCCCCAACCTCATTCACAGACAGCCATCTTTTTCCTGTGTCGTCACACAGCAGAAGGGTTGAGAGAATTCTCTAATGTCTCTTCATAACAATTTCATGACCTAGTCATTACGCAAAGGGCGCACCTCCAAATACTCCCACATTAAATAGGATTTAACTTATACTTTCAGAGAGGGACAAAAACTTTAAGTCTATGGCAACATCCAAAAGTGAAGAAATAAATTACATATGTTTGAAAGAATCTTTTGATGAAGGTGAAAGAGGAAAGTGAAAAAGCTGGCTTAAAGCTCAACATTCAAAAAAAAAAAAAGAAAGAAAAATCATGACATTCTGTTACATCACTTCAAGGCAAATAAATGGGGAAACAGTGACAGACTTTATTTTCTTGGGCTCCAAAATCACTGCAAACAATGACTGTAGTCATGAAATTAAAAGACACTTGCTCCTTGAAAGAATAGCTATGACAAACATAGACGGCACATTGAAAAGCTGATTTATTACTCTGCTGATAACGCTCTGTATAATCAAAGCTATGATTTTTATAGTAGTCATGTACAGACATGAGAGTTGGACCATAAAGAAGGGTGAGCACCAAAGAATTGATGCTTTCAAACTGTAGTGTCGGAGAAGACTCCTGAGAGTCCCTTGGACTGCAAGGAGATCCAACCAGTCCATCTGAAAGGAAATAAGTCCTCAATATTCATTGGAAGGACTAAAGCTGAAGCTGAAACCCCTACTTCGGCCACCCGATGCGAAAAACTGACTCATTGGAAAAGAACCTGATGCTGGGAAAGATTGAAGGCAGGAGGAGAAGGGATGACAGAGGACGAGATGGTTGGATGGCATCACCGACTCGATGGACATAAATTTGAGCAAGCTCTGGGAGTTAGTGATGGACAGGATGGCCTGGCATGCTGTGGTCCATAGAGTTGCAAAGAATTGGACACGGTTTAGTGACTGAACAATAACAAGAAACCCATTTTATTTGGTCAGTAGCATTGTTTTGTGAAGACTTTGAGATAAAATAAACTCCATGTAAATGGGATAAAAATCAGGATACGAGGTTGCTTATACACTGATTTACTAGTGAAAAGCACACACTTCACCGTATCGTTGCTGCTGCTGCTTCTAAGTCGCTTCAGCCGTGTCCGACCCAGTGCAACCCCATAGACGGCAGCCCACCAGGCTCCCCCATCCCTGGGATTCTCCAGCAAGAACACTGGAGTGGGTTGCCATTTCCTTCTCCAATGTGTGAAAGTGAAAAGTGAAAGTGAAGTCGCTCAGTCGTGTCCGACTCTTCGTGACCCCGTGGACTGCAGCCCATCAGGCTCCTCCATCCATGGGATTTTCCAGGCAAGAGTCCTGGAGTGGGGTGCCATTGCCTTCTCTGGCACTGTATCGTTAGGTCCTCATAAATCTAGGTTGAATAAAGGAGGCAGAATAATAAGGTTCTTTGATCACATGCTTCTGACCATACTCAGTTCAGTTCAGTTCAGTTGCTCAGTCGTGTCTGACTCTTTGCGACCCCATGAATCGCAGCACCCCAGGCCTCCCTGTCCATCACCAACTCCTGGAGTTTACTCAAACCCATGTCCATCAAGTCGGTGATGCCATCCAGCCATCTCATCCTCTGGCATCCCCTTCTCCTCCTGCCCCCAATCCCTCCCAGCATCAAGGTCTTTTCCAATGAGTGGACTCTTCGCATGAGGTGGCCAAAGTATTGGAGTACACACTAGAGGCAGATAATATTTTCTTTCAAGCCTGATTCAGAGAAGGATTTTATAAATGCTGTTTCTGTCAAATAAAACAATATACTCTGGCTTCTTTATTACTTAGTAATCTGTATTTCATCGATAAGAGTGATAAGAATGACATATCTTGTCAGCATCTTTCTTAACAGTGGTATCACCCAAGATATCTGGTGTCAAGTTCTGTAGTGCATATATGAAAGTCATGGATCATAGAATATGATAAATTTACACATGGAAGGCTGAGCCTGAATCTCGAAGGTTATGGAACCACCATATGCAAAAAAGGAAAAGAGAATATTGGGGGGAAAAATCAGAGGTTTTTTTTTCCAGGTATTTTAAACTATCTGGGAAAGTGAGTGGCTCATTTTCAAGAAAATGTAACTCCAAACAAAGATGTTAAACTTGAGGAAATAATATGACTACCCAACTGAAAAATAAGTAAGATTTGGTTATTTTTCGGCATAAAACAGTTCCTTCAGGTTATTTTTACAAACATAGCATCCTTATTAATACTACAACTCTGAAACATTCCCTAATCTTACCATGCTAAGCAAAAGAAAAATAATATATATAAAGTATCTTGCAGATACTTGTGTGTGGTGGGACAAACCAAAATTTTCTGTCATATATTTAAAAAAATTTTTTTCTGAAATCTATAATGAGCTCTATTAATTCTGAAAAAGATTGTATTATTTAAGAGAGAAAAATGAGAAAATATTCCTCTGATTAAATAAATTTACAGTATTAGTTTTAGTTTAACTCATCATATAGAACATATAGCTGTAATCTCAATAAAGATATTTATACACCAAAAGTATACATATTTTCCACAAGAAATTGTGGAAATCATAAAAATGTATTTCAAACTAAATATATAATTTGAACTAAGATAATATGAAAGCATTATACATATATATATATATATGTATATATATTATGACCACTGGACCTATTTAAATAAAAAATCTTTTTCATCACAACCAAGTTATTCAATCTAAGGAGACATTTACTACAGTTAAAAAAAATCACAAGTGACTTTCTTGGGAAAGAGCATTTATTCAAGAAAAAGAATTGATACATTCCCTTGCTGCCTCATTTTCTTTTTCTGATCCATAGCTTTTTCATGGCATTTTGCATCTCTCCATTTCTCAGTGTATAGATCAGAGGGTTCAACATAGGGGTGACGATGGTGTAAAACACTGCCAAGTATTTGTCAATGGGTAAAGTGGAAGGAGGTCTCACATACAGAAAAATACAGGGCACGAAGAAGAGGGCCACCACAGTGATGTGGGAGCCACAGGTGGACAAGGCTTTGCGCCTCCCTTCCTGACTAAGACCCTTCAGGGAGCACAGGATGACCCCGTAGGAGAGGAGCAAGAGCGTGAAGAGGACCACGCAGATTACCCCGTCATTGGCCAGCACCGTGAGGGCAATAATGTGGGTGTCAGCGCATGCGAGTTTTAACAAGGGGTACATGTCACAGACGAAGTGGTCAATGACATTGGGGCCACAGAAGGGAAGGTTGTAAACAAAGAGAATATGAACTACAGCATGTACAAACCCACCAACCCAGGGCAACAGCAGCAGCAGAACACACACTCGCCGATTCATGGTTGTCAAATAATGCAAGGGTTTGCAGATGGCCACGTAGCGGTCATAGGCCATGACCACCAGGAGTAAAATCTCAGCACCACCAAATAAGTGCTCTGTAAAAAGTTGGGTCATGCAAGCTCGAAATGAAATGGTTTTCTTCTCATAGAGTAAGTCTGCAATCATATTTGGGGTGACCGTAGTAGAATAAATAGCATCCATAAATGATAAGGAGCCAAGAAAGGAGTACATAGGGACATCGAGGGTTGCACTGAACACCACAGTCAGGGCAACGAGTAGGTTGCCGACCACTGTCGCAGTGTAAGTGAGCAAGAGCACGACTAATAGTATTTCCTGACCCTGGACACTCTGAGTGAGCCCCAGGAGGACAAACTCAGTTACATTGTTCCTTTCTTCCATAGGTGCTTCTAAATGTTCTTTCAGAGCTCAGTCAAAATTACCTGCAAATATAATTAGTATTAATATGACTGACTTCTTCACATCTTAAGATAATTTGTTCAATCATTGAACAAATAAGCAATCTGGTTTATTATGTTCTGGTATTTTTCAGATATTATAATACAAGGCATATCAAAATGTTGTCCCTAAACTCGGCACTCTTACAGACTAACGGGAAGGCAAGTAATTAGCGACATATGTGGGAAAAGGACTCAATATTAAAGAAATGAGTTGCCACAACTAGCTTTCCTTCTGGAAGTTAATTAAATTGTACATAAGCTAATATCTTATACAAAAATAAAAATTGATTGAAGGTTTAATAAAAAGTTAAAGCAAGATTTACTTCATATTTATTTTCCAGTTTTTAAAAAAGAAAGTTACTTTCTACACTATAGGAGTGGAACAATCTTCTTAACCAATCACTAAATCCCCAAATGGACATATTTGACAATTTCAAATTATTTAAAGAATTTAGGAAATGCTACCAAAACACAAATAGACAAAGTTAGCTTGAAGAAAGATTTACATGTTAGAGGATATACACAGAGTTAGTATCTAAAATTGAAAAAGATCTCCAAGCAATTAAATAATAAAAAATAAAATTATAAAATAAATTAAAATATTAACTAACAATTAAAGAAATAATACCCCTGAAAGACCAATAAACATATAATATGATGCTGAAGCTCACCTGTAAACAGAAAATCAGTTCTTGAAGTCACAATTTTCTTACCACAGTATTTGCTTGAGTTTTTGAAAATTAAATCAGTCAAGGTCTGCAGGTGCTACCTCATTTTTTGGTATTTTCTAACAGATTAGCAGGCTGTGCTTAGAGAACTTATAAATTGAAACTATGATCAGATTTACAAATAGCTGCTCATGAAAATATCCTCAAATCATTACTCTTGAGAATAATTTCTAAGTATACTTTATCTTTGAGTAGGATAACTTATTCCAGATTATTAGGATATGAAATTATCCAAAAGGAATACTATAGAGTAGTCAATCTTCACATGCTAAATAATCACAAAGGATTCCTAACATGGTTGATTAAGAAAATTACAAAGGAAAACGTCAAAGATTAATTCTCATCCCATCAAGTGCTCTTGCAAAATGTAAAATCTCATTCAGGATTTTGTCTCTAAATACACTTCTTGGGTCACCTGCATAAGGAGAGCTCCATTCAGTCCATGTTCTGGGCTCTGGTACCTTCTTTCTTGTCCTCCATGCACTGATGCCTTCTTTGGGAACATGGGAAGAAAGATATAGGCAGCATCACTAGACCTTGAACTGGTCCCATGTGACCAACTCTCAATGCTTTCAGGAAAACTGATTCATCTCAGTCATTCATCTCAATTCATTTCAAATTGTTAGGATTTTCAAAATGAATATGAATGCCCTTTTACCTAAGGAACTCTGAATCTTGACTGTGAAAAGAGAATACAAATTTTCACTGTTGGCAGGATTTATCCTGATAACAAACAAATGGTAAATCAACATTTTAATCAGAGAGAGAGAAAGAAAACAAATTGTATAAGAATATGCTGTTTGTGTTTTATAACAATGGAAGTAAAATTGTGAAATAACCTTTGTGACATTTTGATTCTGAATCACTTATCCTGTCCTATCTTCATGCAGTGTTGATGAACTTTGTGTTTCCTGAAGGATGGAGAATAATTTCACATATATACATTATCATGTTTTGAGTCCATCATTTCAATTTGAGAAGAAACCTCTCATGAAATTACTGCTACAGACACCTCAAGTCAGGGCAAAGGACTGTACATACTTCATCTACCTTTAAGTTCAGCAGATACAATGGATAAAGCATTCAATTGGTGCATCTCCATGGATGAGTCTCAGCTAATTAAATTCATTGGGACCTTAATCATAATTTTGCAGGTAGCCTCCTTACCTCCAGAGATGTCACCAGAATAATCACTGTTAGCATGACTTATAGATACCTGTCCTCTGGGGGAAAACCATAGGAAACAGCTTGAGGTCATATCACCAAAATGCAAAAGTTCAGTCTGGGCAGAAATGAAATTTATAATAAATTTCCTATTTAAATCCTGTCCTTCAAATAAGCAAATATTTTTTAATTTTAAGCTTTATCTTTGAAGATGATACCCAAATTGATTTCCAAATGTTATGAATATCAATTTCAGAACAAGTCATTTAATGTTTATTTCAAATGCAGATAAAGGTTGTCACATAATTTCAGACAGGCAAGTTGATAGAATCTGTGCAAGTATCAGAGTGGGGAAAGAGAAACTGTCCGTGGGACTAGTCCATTCATCTCAGAACGCTCATGGGACATTCACCAAAGTGGTCTCCAGTGGTCTCCAACCTTTTCGGCACCAGCCTGGCACCAGGGACCGGTTTCATGGAAGACAATTTTTCCATAGACTGTTGGTGGAAGGCAGGGGAAAGGATGGTTTCTGGGTGATTGAAGTGCATGACATCTGTTGCACTCCTGTGAGCATCTGATGCTACCACTGAGCTGACAGGAGGTGGGGCTCAAGTAGTCATGTCAGTGACGGGCCAATTTCTGCTCACCCGCCTGCCACTCACCTCCTGCCGTGAGGCCCGGTTTCTAGCAAGCCATGGACTGGGGGGTGAGGGCCTCTACTCCAGGCGATGACACAAGTTGCAATACATTTTCAGGGACTTAAATCATACATTATATATATACACATATGTTTGTGTGTGTGTGTATACATATATATACACACACATACATGGCATCCCAGCTATGGCTAGTGGTAAAGAATCCACCTACCAATGTAAGAGATGTAAGAGATCTGAATTTGATCCTTGAGTCTGGAAGATCTCCTGGAGGGAGAAATGGCAACCAGCCCCAGTATACTTGCCTGGAAAATTGCATGGGCAGAGGAGCCTGGAAGGCTACAGTTCAGGGTAGCAAAAGAGTTGGAAAAGCTGGGCATCTGCACCTACAGTTGCATATATATATATATATATATATATATATGCCACCAGGGGATCCCCATATACATATCACAATAATGTAACTCAACTAAAAATTGAGAACAAAAACATAACGTTTTCCAACTGTTTACAATTAAGCAACAAGAGCCTAAAATTACCAGTGAACATTTTCAAAGAAATATTGTCAACAGAAAGATAATGATACATATGTAAATAATAGCTATATGAAATAAATGTATAAAAAGTGTAACTATCAAAAGTGCCTATGAAAATTATTTATATAAAAACTTACACATATAAATATATATAAAGGACTATATAATAGAATACAATGTAACATATATAAACAAGTGCTCGGGGCTGGTACACTGGGATGACCCAGGGGAATGGGATGGGGACGGAGGTGCGAGGGGAGTTCGGGATGGGGAACACATGTAAATCCATGGCTGATTCATGTCAATGTATGGCAAAAACCACTAAAATACTGTAAAGTGATTAGCCTCCAACTAAGAAAAATAAATGGAAAAAAATAAAATATAAGGGACTATTTTAAAATAAAAAAAAATTAATCAGATGCAGCTCAAAGAGTGCTTATAGAGAGAATTTTGTAGCTTTAAATGTGGATATTAGAAAGCAATAAATAAGGGGTAAAATAAGCTTCTGTCTCAAGATGCTAAAAAAGAAAATTTAATATAAACCCAGAGAACATTGTAGTAGAGAAACAGCATTGAGAAAACAAACATCATTAAAAGAGTAATTGATATAAATAAATAATCCATTTAAACCCACTGGCTCTTGATAACCAAATGAAGCAGGGGCTTACAGATGACCATATTATGGTTATAGGTCATAAGCAATAGAAGGGAGATCTCTGGTTCACCAAAAAAAAGTAAAATACTATGTCATGCAAATATCAAAGGATCTGATATATTCCCCAAGGCCAAGTCTGAATTAAATCTGATTGAAACAAAAGATAAATAAATTAGGTCTAAAAAATGATAAGCTAGTAAAACAAAAAAGAATATTTCAGCAAATTCAGGGTCTTACTGACAGTTATGGTCATGGCAATGCGCAGGTTGCCCACCACTGTCAAAATATAGAAGAGCCAGGCAAAACTAAAAGGATTTTCTGCCCTTTTGAATTCTATGTGAGGCCCAGAAGATGAAATCAGTTACATTGTTCCTCTAGTCTGCACAGGAGTTGAGTTCACAGAATCAGTTAAGTTACAAAACAAGGGAAAAAAGTTTTAAATGGATTATAAGTTAATCTTTTTATTTTTACATTCAATTAAAACATTGTGTATGGAGTTCCAATCTGTGTCCAAAGGGGCACAGACATCATGATGACCAAGTTTAAAAAGGCCTAGTTCCCTGCCCTCAGTGATATGATACACAAAGATGCATCAGACAATTCCAGACCAATGGAAGAAATGCTGTGATAAAAATATGGACAAAATGCTAAGGATTACAGAGTAGGAATATATCTACCAAACTGGAACAGGAGACATCATCCCTGAAAAAGCAGTGTTTTCGTTGCCAATTAAAGGAAATGAGGTTGAACAAACATGGATGACAAGGGAATTCCGTGGAAATATGCCCCATTATAAAGTCATGAAGGCATAGTTATTGAAACACACTTAAATGAATTTACATGTTAGGTGTGAGTAGATCGAAATATGAATAGAAGGTCACTGCCTTGGATTGTCTCAGAACTCACTGAGAAGCCTCTTTGAGGGTCTTTCGTTTGATGATCCTCATTTCCTGACCTA